TTGTCTATGCTGATAAAGACTGGCACGCTAGGCGTGCAGTTTGGGAGGATATTACCCCGCACCACTCGGTTGGCTCTCCCCTTGTGGTGGGGGGCGACTTTAACTGTATCTTATCTCAGGTGGAGAAAAAGGGCGGGCGCCCGTTTAGCTACATTGCCGCTGCTGGTGAGATGGGGGAATTTATGGACACCAACGGCCTGGTTGACCCCAGCTTCATTGGCCCTGCGTTTACCTGGACGAATAATAAGGATGCTAGGAGCAGGATTTCCTCCCAACTTGATAGATTTCTGATCAGCTCGTCGATTCTGGATGTGTTCCAGGAGCTGCGGGTTACTCACCTGACGAGGCTTGCCTCAGATCATTGCCCTATTCTGTGCTCAACGGCTGAGCAGCAGCGAGGGGTTCCATCCTACTGGATCAAATTCGAGGAAGCGTGGATTGGGTTCCCTAAGGCGTGGCAATTAGTAGCAGATAAATGGAAGGTCCAGGATACCGGTTCGGAGGCCTGTAAGCTGCAAAGGAAGTGTAATAGGTCATTGAAATCGCTCTACTTCTGGAGTAAGAACAAGCTTAAGATGCTAAACCAACTCAAGGATGAGTTAGATAAGGAAATCAAGGATCTGCAGGAGCTGGAGTGCTCTCCTGCAGGGCTTTCAGAGGTTTAATATGAGGCCTTAAGGTATAAAGTCCAGTTGTTGAATTCTACCCTTGCCCGTCTTGCTATGTGGTGGAGACAGCGTGCGAAGGTGAGATGGATTGAGGAAGGGGACGACAACACTCGCTTCTTCCACTCGATGGCCTCGGCTCGGCGGAGGTCTAATTCGATCAATCAAATTAAGGACCCGGACGGTAATATTGTGTCTGAACAGGCAGATGTTATGGGGGTAATCCACAGATTTTTTGAACAAAAATGGTGTGGTGTTCCTGTTTCGGAGAATGGGTGGCCGTTCTTCGACTCTCATACGGCTATTTTGGCTAATGCTGCGGAAAGGCTTGTTAGGGAGGTTACGGTAGAGGAGGTTTGGGATGTTGTTCGGGATCTTGGACCGAACCGTGCGCCTGGCAGGGATGGGGTGACGGCTTCCTTCATCAAAGCATACTGGAGTATTGTTGGGGACCAGGTCACGGCCGCGTGCTTGGAGTTCTTCTCGACGGGTATTATGGACACCGGGTGGAAGGAAACAGTGGTGGTTCTTCTACCAAAAATTGACCATCCGGTTCGGCCATCCAACTTTCGGCCTATAAGTTTGTGCCAGACATTTTATAAGATTGTTGCTAAGCTCCTGGTGAGCCGGATGAAAGGTTTGCTCCAAGCCTTATTTCGGAGGAACAAGCTGTGTTCGTCCCTAAATGATCCATTTCTGAGCATTGTTTACTTGGACAAGAGATTATGAACAAGTTTAAAGTCTCTAAATCGGCTATGGACTGGCTGGCGTTGAAGGTTGCATGGAACAGGCCTACGATAAGATGAGCTGGCGGATGCTTGAAGTTGTGCTCACGAGGATGGGTTTTCCGACGCGGTTTTGCTCGTTGGTGCTTGGCTGTATCCGCAATCCACGGTTCTCGGTGTATGTCAATGGTCAGCTCTTGGAGACAATCACGACCGGCTGCGGTTTTAGACAAGGATGTCCGCTCTCCCCGTACCTGTTTATTCTCTGCTCGAAGCTGCTGTCGCTGCATTTCCAGCAGAGATTTGGGGAGCTGGGGGTACAAATCAGGGCGGGGGGACCTTTGGTCTCCCACTTCCTTTATGCTGACGATGTGTTGTTTTTTGCAGGTTCCACCATCCCCAATGTGAGGAAGTGTTTGTCGATCTTGGAGGACTACTGTTCGTGGACGGGGCAGAAGATCAACAAAGACAAATCCATGATTCTCTTTAGCCGGTCGACGCCTTCTACGACCAGATCTCGGCTTGCTAGACTAGCCGGCTGTCGGAAGGTGGAGGAATTGGAGTACTTGGGTATTCGGTTTGCTCTAAGGAGGCTAAGTAAGGCGGATTTCAGCCCTTTACTGCAGAAAATCCGGTAATTTACGCTGGCCTGGGGGTATTAGGCACTTGTCTCTTGCTGGCCGGATTAA